CCTGCCCTAAATGTGTGATTGCTCTCTGCTTACACCTTAGAATCCCGGCTTCTCTGTGCTTCCATAGTCTTTACACCTCTTTGGCACTTAAGGAAAAAACATATGTAATTACAGGCTTGGTATCAGTCCTCTCTATTAGCAGTGGTTTCCTTGGATTCCAGGATCATATTTTGTTTTCCTTTGTAGCTCCCTGAGCTCCTGGCATAGGGCAAGTGTATAGTCAGTATTTGTTGAATGAATAGGAAAGATAGCTACAATGGGAAGAGTCCGGGTGTTAGATCCAGAAGGACCTATTTTAAGGTTCAATTTCTTCCCCCTTTTAAAAGTTTATTTATTTTATTTTTGAGAAAGAGAGAGGCAGAGAAGAGAGAAAGACAGAGAATCCCAAGCAGGCTCTGCACTAATAGTGGGGCTCAAACTCACAAACCATGAGATCATGACCTGAGCCAAAATCAAGTCAGTCGGATGCTCAACTGACTGAGCCACCCAGGCGCCCCCAATCTCCTTTTCTTATTAACTGTCTATTTATTTAACATTGATTGAGCAAGTTACTTAACTGAGTCTTAGTTCTCTCAACTGTAAAATGGGGATAGTGATACTTAGTGAGGCTTCAATGAGACAATTCATATAAAGCACATGGTATATTATTTTCTCCCTTCCTCCTCCCCCCTTTGAATGAGGGAAGAGAGTAGAGAGAAGAAAGAGAAGCAGTGGTTTCTAAAGAAGGGGTAGGTAGAGGAAGTAATAAGGAGACCAAATGGACTGTCTCTCTGCCTGTGGCTGTTTCTCTCTGAGCGTGGGGACAAGATTGGGTACAGATATATCTGTGCTATGCTCTGGGGATAGTCCCCACTGCACCACAAACCAAAGCTCTATCTGGACAGAACCACAAATAGACACAAAACCTCAAGTAGAGATAGTGATAAAGATGCTCAACAAGTGCCACGGTCTCCACAGCTGGTTCTGATGACCCTTCTCCAATTGGGGCATCTCACAGGCTGGGGCTTTCAAGTCCATGCTGTGCATAAGGAGAGTTCTGCCTTACTTTGCACCTGGTCTTCAAATCATTTAGATAGCACTATCTCCCCACCTCCTCAAATTAGGAAGTTAGCTCTTGAAGCAGTGAGTCAAAGAATAAATCACAAGGGAAATTAGAAAATATTTTGAAAGAAATGAAAAGAAAAACACAACATACCAAAACCTGTGGGATGCAGCAAAACTCAGCTAAGAGGTAAGTTGTACAGTGAAAAATGCCTTTATTTAAAAAAGAAAAAAGATTTCAAATCAATAACCTAACCTTACACTTCAAGAAACTAGAAAAAGAACAAACTAAAGCAAAGTTACCAAAAGGAAGGAATAATAAAGATTAGAGCAGAATAAACAAAATAGAGAATAGAAAAACAATAGAAAAAAATTAATAAAATTAAGAGTTGTTAATTCTTCAATAAAATTCACAAACCCTTAACTAGAATAATAAAAAAAAGAAAGAAGAATCAAATAACAAAAATCAGAAACAAAAGAGGAGACATTACAATTGATACCACAGAAATAAAAAGGATCATGCGACCAAGACTACTATCAACAATTATATGCTAACAAATTTGAGAACTTAAAAGAAATGGATAATTTTCTGCCAACATACAACCTACCAAAACTGAGTCATGAAGAGTTCAAAAATCTGAATAAATCTGTAATTAGTAAGGGGATTGAATCAGTAATCAAAAACCTCACAACAAAGAAAAACCCAGGACTAAATGGCTTCATTGTAGTATTCTACCAAATATTTGAAGAAGAATTAACACCACTCTTTCTCAAAATCTTCTCAAAAATTAAAGAAAAGAGAATGAATCCAAATTCATTTTATGAATCCAGCATTACCCTGAGACTAAAATCAGACAAAAATACTAAAAGAAAGGCCAATATCTTTGATGAATACTGATATAGAAATCTTCAACAAAATACAGTAAAAACTTGGATTGTGAGTAACTTGTGCTGTGAGTGTTCCACAAGATGAGCAGCATTTCTTAAATAAAAATTTTAAGTGTATTTATTTTTCAGAGAAAGAGAGAGTGGGAGCAAGAGAGAGAGTGAGAGCGAGAGTACGAGCGGGGAAGGGGCAGAGAGAGGGGAACAGAGGATCTGAAGTGGGCTCTGTGCTGACAGAGACAGCCTGATGCAGGGCTCAAACCCAAGGATTGCAAGATCATGACCTGAGCCAAAGACAGATGCTTAACCAACTGAACTATCCAGGGCCCTGAGCAAACATTTCTAATAAATTTCAACTTGATAAATGAGCAATGTCTTGCAATACAAGTAGCATGTGATGCTGAATGACGGATAATCACAACTGAGTCAATGGTTCTTGAAATTTGCTTTGATATATTAGTATTTTGGATTACAAGGATGTTCCCAGAATGAATTATGCTTGCAAACCAAGGTTTTACTGTAGAAGCAAACTGAATTCAGTAACACATTAAAAGGATTATACACTATGATCAAGGGGAATTTATCTCTGGAATTCAAGGATGGGTTAACACACAAAAATTAATGTAGGTAATATACTATATTAGCAGAATGAAGGAAAAAAACCTCACATATTCACCTCAACTGATGCAGAAAATTATCTGACAAAATGCAGTACTCTTTCATTTACTCAATAAATTAAGATTAAAAGGAAATTACCTGAACATAATGAAGACTATATGTGAAAAGTCCATAGCTAACATTATACTCAATGGTGAAAAACTGAAAGCTTTCAGGAACAAGGCAAAGATGTCCACTCTCACCACTTCTATTCAACACAGTACTGTATGTCAGAGCAATTAGGCAAGAGAAAGAAATTAAAGGCATTCAGACTGGAAAGGAAGAAGTAAAATTATCCTTATTCAAGATGACATAATCTTTTATGTAGAAAATCATAAAGACACCACCAAAAAAACTGTTAGATCTGAGAAACCAAGTCAGCAAAGTCAGAGGTTACAAAGTTTACATGCAAAAATCAGTTGCATTTCTATATACTAACAAAGGACATTGAGAAAATGATGCCATTTATGATAGCATCAAAAGTAATAAAATACTTAGAAATAAACTTAATCAAAGAATCAAAAGACTAAACATTGCTAAAAGAAATTTAAAAAGACACAAATAAATGGGAAAATATCCCATGTTCATGGATCAGAAGACAATATTGTTGAAATGTTAATACTACTCAACGTGATCCACAGATTCAATGCAATCCCTATAAAAATCTCAATGACATTTTTTTCTGGAGAAATAGGAAAATCTTTCCTAAAATTCATATGGAATCCCAAAGCACCCTGAATAGCTGAGACCATCTTGAAAAAGAAAAAATAAAGCTGTAGGCCTTGTACTTTCTGACTTCAAAACATATTATAAATGTACAGTAAGCAAAACAGTATGGGACTGTCATAAACACAAAGATATAGACCAATAGAATCAAATAAAGAGCCGAGAAACAAACTGTCACTTATGTAGTTAATTTATCTTCAACACAAGTGTCAAGACATCATAATGGGGAAAGGATAATTTCTTCAATAAATGGTTCCGGGAAAACTGGATAGCCACATGCAAAAAAAAAAAAAAAAAGAAGAAGAAGTTGGGCCCTTACCTTAAACCATATGCAAATATTAATTCAAAAATTAACTCAAAATATAAGACCTGAAACTATAATACTCCTGGAAGAAAACATGTCATACATTACAACATTGTGTTCTGGAATGATTTTTGGATAAGATGCCAAAGCACAGTCAATAAAAGTAAAAATAGGCAAATGTGAATATATCAAACTTCAAAACTTCTATGCAGCAAAAGAGACAATCAACAGAGTAAAAAGGCAATATATAGAACTAGGAGAAAATATTTACAAATCATATATCTGAGAAAGAGGTAATATCCATGATATATTCCTACAACTCAACAACAAAAACCAAGCAACCAAATTAAAAATGGACAAAGGACCTAAATAGACATTTCTCCAAAAAGGCAGATAGATGGTCAACAAATGTATCAAACGATGCTCAACATCATTAATCATGCGGGAAATACAAATATAGACCACAATGAGATATCACTTCACATCTAATAGGATGTCTAAATATCAAGAAAATAGAAAATAGTGAGGATGTGGAGAAATTGGAACTCTTGCATATTATTGGTAGGAATGTAAATTGGTGCAACCATTCTGGAAAACAGCATGGAGTTTCCTTAAACATTTAAAAATAGAATTACCATATGATCCAACAATCCCACTTCTGAGTATGTATAGATTTTTTTAAAAACCCTGAAGGCAGGATCTCAAAGAGATATTTGCACATCCATGTTCATTGTAGATTATTCACAATAGCCAAGAAGTGGAAGCAACCTAGATGTCCTTTGATGGAAGAATACATTAAAATAGATGTGGCCTATACATAAAGTGAAATATTTTTTAGTGAAATATTTTCCTTAAAAAATAAGGAAATGCTGTCATATGATACAATGTGGATGAACATTGGAGACATTATGCTGAGTGAAATAAGCTAGTCACAAAAAGACAAATGCTGGGTGATGCCACTTATATGAGGTGTCCAATGTGGTCAAATTCATAAAGATGCAAAAAATGAAGGTTGCTAATGGCTGGGGGAGAAAGGAATGCGGAGTTATTATTTGATGGGCACAGAGTTTCAGTTTGGGCAGATGGAAAATGTCCTAGAGATGTATAGTGATGCCTGCTGCACAACAATGTGAACTTAATGCCACTGAACTATACAACTGAAAATGATGAAGATGGTGAACTTTATGCTATATATATCTTACCACACACACACACACACACACACACACACACACACACACACACACACACATTCCTGAACGCCGTCTCCAGAGATCCTGATTCTGTAAACCCCAGGGCCCAGGAATCTGCATTTTGAGCAAGCAACTGAGTTGATGTGGTTCGGGACAAACAAGTGGTTCCACATACAAGGAAATAAACTACTCACAATCTGGGAATGCTGCCTGGCAAGCTGCCCTGTGGAGCTCCGGGTGACTGAGAGACCAGCGCTCAGTTTTTACTGTGCTGATAACTTGCGGTTGACACCACCTGTGCGCAAGGCGTTGTGCTAGAATACGGGTGGGGACACAGAATCCCAGTTTTAAACTCAGGGGAGACTGACAAACCAAGTACAGACCAAGAAGCGCAAAGGGACCCTTTGTGACTTCTAGCACTTCAACACTCCCTTTCTTTTCTGAGCGTGGGGCAATGACGCCCAGTTCACAGGTCGGTTTTGCACGCAAAATGAGATAAAATGTGGGAAAGTGTTCTTTTTTATTTTTGTCATCGATTACTCAGCGTTTACTTTCAGGGCGAGTCCTGGAGACTGGGCTCTATAAAGTGCCAGGGCAGGAGTTCTCAGTCCTGAGCACACGTGTAACACTACCTGGGGAGGGGGTAAAGTCCCTGATAGTCTCCTCCCCCCCTCGGAGATTCTCATTCCGTTGTCTGAGGAATGAGTACGGCCGTTCTTTTTAAAAAGCTCTTTGCGTTTTCAACTGACAGTCAGGGTTGAGAATGCGCTATGTAACACACAGGAGAGAATGGTGGGTTCAGACTGGTTGGATGAGAGACACTCACAGAGAAGGTGATGTTTGTGCTACAGTTTGGGGATTAATGTTTTGGACTGGGCAACGTGTACACATTATATAAAATTCAAAAGTCTGAAAGTATCTATCAGGAAAAGCGTATCTACCTCTCTCTCCCTCTCTGGGCTTCCTTCCCTGTTCTCTCTGGAACAAAAAGTCTTACCAGTTCTTGTCTATATTACCAGAGATATTCTTTCAGTTGCTATTGGGAAACTTGTCAGTTGGCAACGGGAAAGGAGAAAAAAGGAACAGGTGTCATTTTCTGTTACACCACCTTCAGGAGGCACAGAATGGCATCTATAGAAGCATAGCTTGATGGGGAAGTTCATCTTAATAAAAAAAACTAAAAGTTGATTCTCAGATCATGTTTGGTTTTTGGGTTTTGTTTTTTTGGAGTAGTGGCAGTTGTTCTTTCTTTCTTCTTGTTGTAGTACATTCTGAGTAGCTTGTTTTGTAAAATTGCACCTTTTATTTTGGGAGAATCTCAGAATCACATGCAGTTGTAAGAAACACTACAGGGAGAGCCCAACTGCCCTTTGCCTAAGGGGCTTAAATTTAATTCTGGTGCTAATCAACATACTTCAATCCAATTCTCTGATACACTAGGTTTTTAATGTTTATTTATTTTTAAGAGAGGAAGACAGACAGAGCATGAGTGGGGGAGGGGTAGAGAGAAAGGGAGACAGAATCCGAAGCAGGCTCCCGGCACCAAGCTGTCAGCACAGGGCTCAACGCAGAGTTCGAACTCATCAACTGCGAGATCATGACCTGAGCCGAAGTCGGACGCTTAAGCTCCTGAGCCACCCAGACATCCCACGGTACACTAGGTTTTTAAAAACTGTGCCTGGGAACTGAGAGTGGACTTGCAGGGGAGGGGCGGTGAGTGAGGAAAACAAAAGTGTTTCGGTTTCTTTTGTAGTTAGTTGCTGGGAAATCAAAACTAACATGCTAGCGCGCTTACTTCTCTATGGGGACAGGTGCTGCACCTCTTTGTTAACTACTCATCTGGGTGTGTGTGTGTGTGTGTGTGTGTGTGTGTGTGCATGCGTGTGTGTGTGTGTGTGCGTGTGCCGTAAGTCATGGCCACACCATGTGAGGGACACCAACTGGAACACAGGCTTTCTCTCCTGGGGTTGAACTGGCAATTTCTATTAGCTGTGTCCAGGCTCCAGGTCAGAAGCTGAGCCCATTTTTTGATTTCCAGACTCCCAGGAACAAATAAATACAGGCAGCAAGCCATCCTCGACTCTCAGGTTCCTACATCGTTCCTGATTTGTTACTGGATTCCTAAATAATGCATCTTCCCTGTTAAAAGAATCACAAAAGAACAAAACAGTAACAGGGTAGCCCCAGAACCTTCCCTGCCTCTTCCTTTTTCAACTGCATTGGCAGGAAGGGACACCTAGTTGGGAAGACTGGAAGGGGGTTGATCTTCCCCCAATTCACCTTCTACTATTTATCGGTTGTCTTGCATCACAAGTGTTTTACTGCTTGAAAATGCAAATTGCCGGGGTTGAGATTGTGTCAGTTATAAGAGACTTCTTGAGTTATATATCCCCTCCCGGTGGATGAACTTGGCTCAGCATTTGGTTCTTATGCTTACAGTGTTTGTGATAACACTTCTGGTTTCAATAATGCTATTTTATGTGGTACTTTTTGTGAGGGAGCAGGTACAGACACATTGGGCTTCATCACATATATTCCACAAGATATCTAAGGTATACAACAGGGGGAAAGAGTGGAACCCAAGCATAATAAATATAATCCCTGGGCTTTATAATTATGTGAAATAGAAAACTATGCAGATGTGTGAAATTCAGGCACATTCTTTTCTTTTCTTTTTTTTTTTTTTCCAAATAGTTTATTGTCAAATTAGTTTCTACATAACACTCAGTGCTCATCCCCAAAGTGCCCTCCTCCATGCCCATCCCCCCCTCCCCCCCACATCCATCAGTTCTCAGTTTTTGTCAGCATTCAAGAGTCTCTCATGGTTTGCCTCTCTCCCTTTCCCCCACCATTTCCGCCCTTCTTCTCGCCCTTGTTCCTCCGTCAAGTTCCTCCTAATCCTCCTATACGTGCAAACATATGGTATTTGTCCTTCTCTGCCTGACTTATTTCGCTCAGCATAACACCCTCAAGGTCCATCCATGTTGCTACACATGGCCAGATTTCATTGTTTCTCATTGCCATGTAGTATTCCATGGTATAGATAAACCACATCTTCTTGATCCATTCATCTGTTGATGGACACTTAGGCTCTTTCCATGTTTTAGCTATTGTGGAGAGTGCTGCTATGAACATTGGGGTACATGTGCTCCTATGCCTCAGCATTTCTGTATCCCTTGGGTAAATTCCTAGCAGAGGCACATTCTTTTCTATATTGATAAAAGCTACTATGTACTGGATGCTTAATATAATCTGGCAGAATGTTAATGTTTAAAATAAATCTTTTTTTTTAATGTTTATTTATGTTTGAGAGAGAGAGAGAGAGAGAGAGAGAGAGAGAATGAGCAGGGAAGAGGCAGAGAGAGAGGGAGATACAGAATCTGAAGCAGGTTCCAGGCTTTGAGCTGGCCCTACTGGGGGCTCAAACCTATGAACCGGTGAGATCACAACCTGAGCTGAAGTTGGATGCTTAACTGACTGAGCCACTCAGATGCCCCTCAATCTCATTTAGTCCCCGCAATAGATCTGAGATATATGCTGTTATTGTCTCCATTTTATTGTTGGAGCTATCAGTGCTCATGAAGGTCAGCGTGGCTGGTGGGTGAAGCAAGGTTTGAATCCAGATCTGTCTAGCACTAAAACAGAGACCCCCTAACCTACTGGTGCTACCTACAGCTAAAGAAGCCTTTGGACCCCTTCCTAGGAAAAAATGTTTTTACACTCAAAAAATAAAATACAGGGCACCTGGGTGGCTCAGCCGGTTAAGCATCCAACTTCAGGTCAGGTCATAATCTCACAATTTGTGAGTTCGAGCCCCGCATCGGGATCTCTGCTGTCAGCACAGAGCCCACTTTGGATCTTCGGTCCCCCTCTCTCAGCCTCTCCCCTGCTCACACACTCTCTCTCAAAAGTAAATAAACATTTAAAAGTAAAATAAAATAAAATGAAATAAAATAAAATACAAAGAATTACAAAGAGAAGCAACTCTATGAGACATAGTTATCAATTGCAGTCTTGGGGTGACCCTCAGTGATCCTGGTTTTGGTATTCATGCCCTTGAATAATCCCCTCCTCCTGGGTTTGAGCTGGACCTCATATAATCTCGTTTCTAATGACAAAATATGGCAGAAATTATGGGATGTCACTTCAGAGATTCGGTTATAAAAGGATTGTGGCCTCTTGGGTGTTTTTCCTTGCTTTCCCGAAAATTACTGGTACTGCAGGAAGCCAGCTCCCCTGTTCCGTGGTAGCTCTGTGGAGAAACAGGCTTGCCTGCAACCACGTGCATGAGCTTTGAAGCAGATTCTTCCCCATCCAGCCTCAAGAGGACTGAGACCCTGACTGACACCTTGATGTTAGCCTCGTGAGAGAACCTGATCCAGAACCACTTGGCTAAGCTGTACCTGAGTTCCTGACCACAGATACCATGATAATTGTTTGTCATTTTCAAGCACTAGTTTTGGGATAACTTGGTATACAGCAATAACTAGCTAATAACTCAACACATTAAAATAAAGCAATTTCGGGATATATGTTGGTATTCGGAGATGAGAAAGTATGTTTAAAATATACACAAATTAAAGTTAAGACCAACACATCAATATAAAGGCTGTGGTTCTTTTCCTTTAATAAGAACATTAAAAAGGGGGCCAAACTTTGACATGTGTAGTAACCACATTTTCTAGTTTCTGTATTTGATGCTATGACCTCTCCCTAGAGAGGCTGCCTCCCCCAGGGCTGGCCACTTCCTAGAGATGGTAAATGATGTGCCTCCCATATGCAAACCAGTCAATCCAGAGCCCATACTCTCTCATACTCCAGGCTATCCACTGGCCCTAATTACCCAGGCCAGGTACCAAACAACTAGGGACAGCACTCATGCCCCAGAGATTACTGAAGTTACTCAAACTAACCAATCCTAAACCTGCTTACCCTGCCTTCTCTCGAAAACCACAAAAGGCTCTTGTCCATGTTTTCCCCTTACAAGCTCTGCCTCCTGACATACCCCGGAGCTTTCTTTGTGACCCGACCCTCCCCCCAACCCTATGGTATGACATACCTCTTTTCTTGGGATCCATAAGTATAACTGTTATGGACTGAATGTGTGTGTCCTCCAAAATTCATATATTGATGCCTTAATCCCCAGTGTGTTTGCGTTTGGAGATGGGGCCTCTAAAGAAGTAATGTTTACTGAGGTCATAAGCGTGGGCCCCTGATCTGAAAGGATTAGTATCTGATAGTATCTT